ACAAAGGATTTGGTGTGGTTGAGCTGGAAAGTTACAGATCCTGAAAACTGTGTACCAGGTTTGGGTTCTGGCTCCAAGAAAATGGAATGTTTCATTCACCCTAACTGTATTTCATAAACAAGCATTCACATGTACATTTCCTACAATTCTGCACAAACTTTCTGCAGTTTGTACATTTATACAGTTTCACACATCAAATGTAAAAACTAACCTGTCATTCCTACACTGTTCTACTTTAAAACAATTTACGGTTTTAGTTAGTACCTGTTGCTGCTGTAGTCATTCGTGTATAGTTGGCTTAAGGAACACTTCTGAAAGCTCAAACTTTTTGAGACAGGGTCTCACTGTGTTACCCTGGCTGGAGTGCAGTGGCATGATCGTAGCCCACCGCAGCCACAAACTCCTGGGCTCAAGTAATCCTCGTACCTCAGGCTCCTCCTAAGTAGCTGGGACTACAGGCCACTATATCCTGCTAATGTTTTATTTTTAATAGAGATAAGGTCTCCCCAACTTTCTCTGGCTGGCCTTAAACTATTGAGCTCAAGCCATGCTCTACCCCACCTCCCAAAGTGTATGGATTACAGGTGTGAGCCACCACCTTGGCCTTAAAATATTTTAATTTCCTGAAATTTTCAAAGAAGAATAAGACCTCATGGCTAAATTGAAAAGTGAGTGTAGCTAGTTTGTTTGCACAAGGAGCTACAGTCGAATTGCAGTTCTTATTTTAGCTGATGAAACAGTTGTCATGTAAATTTTTAGTATGGTATTATATACCAGATGTTTAGAATCCATAACATGAAATTAGCTATACATGCTACTTAGTAAACAGTGGAATACAGAAACAAAAGAAGTGTTACACATAAGAACTGGAATTTTTTTGTTTTTGTTTTTTTGTGGCAGGGATTTGCTCTTGTTGCCCAGGGTGGAGTGCAGTGGCACCATCTTGGCTCACTGCAGTCCTCCACCTCCCGGGTTCAAGCAGTTCACCTGCTTGGGCCTCTTGAGTAGCTGGGGTTGCAGGCATGCGCCACCACACCTGGTTAATTCTGTAGTTTTAGTAGAGAAATGGTTTCTCCATGTTAGTCAGGTTGGTCTCCAATGCCTGACCTTAGGTGATCTGCCTGCCTTGGCCTCCCAGAGTGCTGGGATTACAGGTGTGAGCCACCACACCTGGCAGGACAGTAATTTTTTCACCTATTTTTTTTTTTTTTTTTTTTTTTTTTTTTTTTTTTT